GTAAAATCAGAATCGGAATCCCTAACTAAAATCCTAAAATCCTACGATTTTACGATCAAAATCCCGATTTTGACTGCATTGCTCCTCACCACTGGTTGCGGTTTAGGAGCAGGCACCTCAACCTCCTTCTCCATTTCTTCCTGATTAGCTGGAAGTGCTGAAACAGGGGTCTCTCTTTCCGGTTCCCGAGCAGGGGGATCAATAGTCACCTTGCCACCCCTGGTCATGATGGCATTGCAGCGCTCGTCCGGGGTCGGCGGGTGAGGGATGGTCTGCCCTGGCAGAGTACCAGGAGCCCTTTGAGCCACTGCCTGGGCCACGCTCCCCAGCTGGGTCTGGATATCCTGCAAAACAGCCTGTGTGTTCCTCTGACCAGCTTCAAGATCCAGGAGTTTACCCGAGGCCTTCTCCATGAACTGCTCAAAGGTGTTGAATTTCTGAGCACTAGCACTGGCGAGAGAACCTACCAAGTCCCGCAGCTCAGCCATCTGATCATTCTGCACAGGGGCAGCAGGGGCTGCACCTGGCTGCTGGAAAGGCCGCGGCTGTGATTGAGCAGCATGCCCCTGCATGGGCTGATAGAGAGACTGTTGTTGCTGCTGGAATTGCCCCTGTCTGGGCTGATATGGTGGCCGCTGGGAGCCTGGTGGTCCCTGGGGAGCTGGTGGTTTAGGATTTGGCCCAGCCCAGGAGAAGTTAGGATGCTGGCGCCACCCCTCATTGTACGTGTTGCTGTAGGGGTCATTGCGCCTGACATTGTTGATGAAGTTCACCTGCTCCTGGGGTGTGGTTGATTCCTTCATCGCCTGGCAGTCCTCCACCGTATGATGGGTGCTTTCGCACCATTGGCAGAGCATCGCCTGCTGCTGTCCGGTCCCTGGAATCATCCCGGAACGATCGATAGCTGAAACCAGCTTCGATACCACCTGCACCAAATCAGATGACTGGGTGCCCACAGCATGCACACCCCGTCCAGGTGCTCGTCTCGATCTCCTGGCAGTGCCCCAGTCATAACCGTTCTCCGCCATCTCCTCAAAGAGTTGATTCAGCTGTGGCGGGGTTTTGGTCAGCATGTTCCCGCCACAAACCGAATCGATCAGCTGCTTGTCCTCCGGGAAGAGGGCGTGATAGAAAGTGCCCACCTTGAACGCATCGTTGAAACCATGGTTGGGACACCTGAGAAAGAGGCTGGTGTACCTCTCCCAAGCATCCCTAGTGGTCTCATCCTCATCCTGAGAAAAATGTGTAATCTGCTTCTGGAGATCAGCTGTCTTGGATGGAGGATGGTAGCGGGTGAGGAACTTGTCCGCCAGGTTGGCGAACGTGGTGATGGAGCCCGGAGGTCGAGTGTCTAGCCACTCCTTGGCCTGCCCCTCCAGAGTGAATGGGAAGTACCTCAGCTGGATGGCATCTGCTGGTACCCCATTGATCTTGATTCCATCGATGAGCTCGTGGAATCGCCTGAGATGTGATCGAGGGCACTCTCCCTCCTTACCACGGAACACCACTGAACCGCGCAGCATGGTGATCACTGAGGTGCTCACCTCAAAGTTGTTGGCTGGGACATGAGGGTGTTGAATGGCTAACCTCATGTCTGCAGCCCTAGCGGTCCAGTAGGATCCCATGGTCTGCTCCTCCGGGATCACATCACGGTTCTCTGGATCAGCCATCTCGCCTTCTTCTTCTTCTAACTGCAGCTGTGATAGCTCCTCCTCCGCAGCCAGTCGTGCCTTTAGAGCCCGCTTGAAGTTCCTGCAAGTTCGTTCAAGCTCCTGGTCTAACGGCAGTAGATCTCCCGACTGGCTACGGGTCATGCACTACCTGCACACAGTCAGCAGAAACAACCCGTGAAGGCACACAGGTGGAAAAGAAAAATGCAATAAAGAAAAAGCTAGAGTAACAAATTATCACGTTTCCCCAATAACCTAGAGGGTCCCCGGCAACGGCACCAAAAACTTGACACGCCAAAACACAACACCAAACTGCGACCAAGTGTAATCGCAGTCCGGGAATGCAGTAACAGGCAAGTTTAATTATCAACCCGGGGTCTAGATCTACTGCTTACTCCGTGATTCTCTATTATCTAGCAAACTAGTTCGAGTGATTGTTGTGAAGAGTAAAAGCAACAAGAAAGTAGTAAATTGTTCGGTTTCTAAAGCAGGCAAGAGGCACTCGGGATTGAGTCCCCCTAGCCCCTTAGTTAGGTTCAATTGCAATTCCTGGGTTGATTTACTGTTGATTAGACTGCGGAAGATCCGACAGTAGCTTGGAATCTCTTAAGCTGACCAAGCCCTCTCAGTCTAACCACCCGGCAGACGACTAGTCTTCACCGGGATAGAAAGCTGAGGCTATGAACACAGAACTCCACTACTGGCGCCAAGAACACCAGTACAAAGCAGTAAACTGGCTAACTCTCGTATATCCAATCTCCTACTATCGAATGAAGAGGCTCTAACAACCTAATCAGATTCTATCTATCTCAGGTTGCAGCAGAAATTGAGAAAAGCTGATCAGACTCAAATCAATTCATTAAACATGCGTCATTCGATTAAAATCAAACAGTAATATCATCCCAAGTCATTACAATCAAATCCCTAACACAAGGAACTAGGGTTCTTCATACCCAAGTGAGAGAAGGGTTCTACTCCATAGAGAGAGAAGAGAAAACAAGAATCGGATTAGTCATACTCATAACGATGAGGATAATCTGCTCCGGGACGATGATTTCCACTCCTATGACGATCTCCAAGCTCGATTCGATGAAATCCAGCTCTAAGACAGCTTCTAGGGTGTGTTCTTCGCACTTTCTCTCTCTTGGGCTCTGTTTTTGCTCTGAAAACACGATTCTCTCACTTTTGGCTCGGAATAGGCTCTTAAACCAGGCTTTCCCGACTCGCACGGCCAGGGTGCACGGCCGTGCATATCACCATTCTGGCCGTGCAGCTCCAAAACGCGGCGTATCAATTAACTCGATCCTCAGGCTTCTCGCACGGCCAGGGTGCACGGCCATGCAAGGATCCCGGCCAGCCCGTGCTCGGCCTCGGCCAAAACCGCACGGCCAGGGTGCACTTTGCACGGCCATGCAATCTTTAGGGGTTGCCCGTGCGTGTCCTCGGCATAAGGCGCACGGCCATCTTGCTCACGTGCACGGCCGTGCAGCCTTCCTGGTCTGCCCGTGCAGCTCCCCAAAAACCTCGCCATTCGTCCGTTCTTCGTCCAAACGACCCCAGACTCGCTCCTAAGCCTTCATTCACGTACTAGGACCTGAAACATCACAAACAAGCACAACCTAGCGTGAAATCGACTAAAACACGAGAATCAACACCTCAAACGGTGTAAGAATGGGGGTAAAAACATGTGTAAATGACGGTCTATCACTCACTTAATTAGTTCTTGAAATATTGGAAAGATTGAGAGAGTGTGTGAAAGTTGTTAAGATCCATACATAGACATCTACAAACAACATGAGTTAGTAGGATCAGTTGGTTTATGACATGGAATCAAAGCATCGGTCATGAAGTCATATATTCAAATTCTCACGACAACTAATATTTAGGAGTTCATTCAAGCACATGGTATATGTTGGGTCTGTGCAAACTTCAAGACCTTGATCAATTGGCTTTCGTTTGAGTGGGTGCGCATAAGAAATAGTTAAGATCCATATATATAGAGTTCTCCCAACAACTCGAATTATATATTGAGACCTAATGATTTATGACAGGAGATCGAGTTGGAGATTATGTTGATTTCTCCCTTTTGATATTGACTACCTAATTCCGCCTAATTGCACAATGTGTCACCTTACTCCGTCATCGTATTCTGAATACCTAATACTCACCGTGAATCCCTTAATCGAAGCGTTTTTACGTTACCTAACACACCGGACACTTACGGTTCGTTTGCTTTATTGATTTGAAAAATGAAGGTTTTGGTAAAACTTGGGTTTTATAAAACCATGGATATATGAGAGTACGTTTTTGGTTCATTATGGGCTTTAAAAATACCATTGTTTGTTTCATAGATTTCATTATGGACTTGGTTAATTAGATTTGTATGTATGAAGTAAAATTGACCTACACTGCCCTCGTTGATATGAGAAGAGAAAGATAGTAGGAAGGGTACGTAGCTTGGTCATATATGATGGAATTCAAAGTCCATGATCAATTCCCACCTAAAGAGGTAGAACATTCAAGTCCATGGGGTCTATGAATTTGGACCCTTAAAGTCTGTGGGGTCCACGGATTAGTTGGCCATAAATCCATGAAGCAAACAATAGAGTTTAGACAAAGTCCATGATTGATTCAAATTCATCATAAATCCATCACCAATTCCATCATGCAAACAAGTAATCGCCTTTTTTATCCATACAAATTCTCCAATAATATTTTTTTTTCTTCCAAAGTCAGAGTATTAATCAAAAGTCACAAATCGGAAGAAAGAAAGGCGCGGGAGTCGACCAATAGTCGAACTCCCGATGAGAGGGCCTTTTGTGCCACATGATGGGCATCCCTATTGAGGTGACGAGACACAAAACAGAAGAAAACGCTGTGAAACGAAGATGTCAAGCTCCGAACGTCCTCCAATATAGCGCCACCCCGAACATGTTGCACATCCCCTCCAATAATATTTGATCTCGCGGTAAATGTGAAACCGTACGTACAACATGCAAGAAAGAAAACATTGCCCTAGCGCCCACATCCTTCCATTTCCTCCCACCTCTCTCTTACTAGATTCCTAGCCAAAATTCCTTAACCCTAAATGAAACACCAATTCATTGCACCAAATCTTGGTATACCATAAGGCAATCATATAACGCCTTTTTTCCACCGGCCGGCCGTACTCCTCGAGAATCTTATTATCCTCTTTCCATCCTTCCAATCTCATCCCACAATCAATCCAACTTTTCTTTAACCTTTTTTTCTCTCCTCTTCTTGGTTAAGCGTATTAAATACTTTCCCTTTCCCTATATATAGCTCCACTTCCCCTCCCCGTTTCCACACAAACCAAATTCAACCCATCCACAAGTCCACTATTTTATTCACTGTTCCATTGCCCACTCCTCATCCTTCTCAAAAAGAAATGGATCGAGTGTTCCAAATGGCGGCGGAGAGGCCGGTGGTGGTGTTCAGCAAGAGCACGTGCTGCATGTGCCACACCATCAAAACCTTGTTCTTCGACTTTGGCGTCAACCCCACCGTCTACGAGCTCGACCAGGTCCCCGGTGGCCGGGAGATCGAGCAGGCCTTGGCTCGACACGGTGTTGCCGGTGACTTTCCGGTGGTGTTCATCGGCGGGAACCTTGTCGGCGGCGCCAATGAGATCATGACCCTTCATCTCAATGGTTCCTTGTCTGCCATGCTCAAACGGGCTGGCGCTCTGTGGCTCTGATCAAGTCGATCATCACATCACATGGGTCGAAATTTTGGCTAACTTTACTATATATACTATGGAGTACTCTCTTCTTTTCCTTCTTCTTAATTAGTCATGGTCATAATGATGATGGTAATGATCATAAAAACCTCTGCTTTTTTGGCTAAGTATCAGAGGGTACTAAAAAAATGTATACTTACGTACGTATGTATACGTATGGGGATTTCACGATTAGGCTTTGCGGTACTTTATGATGTAATTAATGACTAAAAATGATGAATCTCCTACTTTTTGTAATACCTCTATATATTTCTACTACGTACTAATGTATAATAAAGTTATGATATGAGATGCTTTTATAACTTCTTGTGCCTGTCCATGTGGATTCTTTGATTGGTCAAACAGCTACGTACAACTAGCTAGTTAATTAGCAAATTCAAATTGGGTACAAACAAAGTGCATTATCAGATCCAATTTATATTAGGGTATAGTATAATACTCCAAACTCGGTTTATTTAATTCATATTTTCATAGAAACATCTCACTAGAAATATCAGGAGTGCCGTATCCATCGAGACCTACATATGTGTCGATGGGAGGTCTAATATTAGATAAAATAATATAAATCATCAATTTTTAACATGTGATACATTTTGTATCCTCCATTAGTTTAAGTGCTAAACCCATTCTACTGCCTGCCGCACAAGTTCGTACGTGGTACGTAATTCAAGTAGCAGATCAAGAACATGCAGAGCGACCCTCGAATGAGTTAATAATCTGGCCCTTGGCCTCCGGTTGGGGCTGTTTTCATATCATAAACAGTAAGAATATAACGTATACGTGGCGAAATCTCAGAGGCTGAAAACTACGACCGATCCTTGTTGATATCGAATAATATATGTCCACTCCTCTACGTACGTATATATTGTGGGAGATCGAATGGATACGTGCATTCTCTCTCTGTGTAAGAGAGGGAATCGAATCGGGGAAAGAAAGAAAGAAAGAAAGAAAGAAAGAAAGAAAGCCGCAATAAGAGGACTAGAAAGAAAGAAAGTGGCCGCAATAAATACATACATACTTCTAGATTTTTCGTCAACGATCTTGGTCGTTGTTTATACGTACGCGTGTATTGTAATAATACATGTTTATACGTAGTGAGGAATCAATCATAACGCGAGAAAGAATGCATGTTGGAGAATGGAGACCTACCTAGCTTTCATCTCTCCTGCGAAATTCCATGTTCAAGACGCACTGATCTCCTGCCATATATGGTTGGCTTAGCTCATCACAAAGAAAACAGACAATGGAGATGGTCCATGCATGCATACGTTGCTTGCATCTTTCTCTTTGTAACTATATTCTATATTCACCTACATAGCTACAAATGCAGCCTTAGTTAGTTCTGTCAAGAACGAGTTGATCTCGATAACTCGAGCTATTGGGAGAGGCTTCAGAGTGGATCATATACCATTTACTACCACATGCACTAGTGGCGTAGCCAGACTTTGAATGGGTTGTGGTCCTTATTAAAAATTTCGAGTTGATTGAGGTCCTTACATGAGGCCGTATCGGCAAAAGTATGGGGTATATTTCAAGTATCGGCTAAAACACATATATTTAAAGGGTTTTGGTACCCAATTTTTTGCTAAATGGTGTCCCAGGACCCCTCTCCTCAAGGTCTCCCTCTACCACTACTGTAACACACCCCCTCAAACTAAAGTCACCATATATGGGCTTAAAGTTTGCACATGTCCAGACATCATGTGCTTAACAGAAACAGATGTGGTCATTGGGATTCGAAACAGATGACCTCTCGGTCACAGAAGGCTCTAATACCATGTCAAGAACCAGTTGATTTCAATAACTCGAGTTGTTGGAAGAGGTTTCATAGTGAATACTATACCATTTACTAAACTAGCACAGGGCCCGACCCGTTGGCCGGAAGAATTTTGTCGAGGAATATGCTACATAATAATTAATAATGGATATAGTAGATGATTTGAATTGCATGAAATTATTGTCTTCTACTTAAGTTATGCACATAACATTTTTGAAAGTAATCCAACTATGCATAATGTGTTTAGACCTCCATGAAAAGAGAACAAAAATATAATATAAGCATTACATATAATTATTGAATGGAAAAAATAAATATAACTAATTGTCATTCATTACTTAATTAAATCATATAGTTGAATATTAGAGTTGTTTCTCATAATACATACATAATCAACCTTTAGGATGAAAGAAAATGCATCATAGAGTTTAGTATGTCCTTTAAGTTTTTCCCAATATAGAGCATTCTTTTTTACCACACTATTGGTAATGAATCATAAGTTGCTTGATTTGAAATATATCGGACATGATGCGGCTAAACTGTCGCTAATAGTTAGTTGGACAATGTGTTGTGTATGGACTTCCCAAATTATTCTCAGATTGCAGACATGTCTAGCAACAATGTAGTAATTTTCATGCAACAAATATTTTTTTTATGAAATAATTCAATAAATAAAAAAGTATGAAAATAATATTACATGAAATATATGTTACTCATTAAGTTGATGAATGAGCGAGGGTATGAGTAACGTACATTTATTTTAAAAAGATAGAAGTTGCAAAGTGTATTTTGGGTTGCATGAGATCGCATATTCTCATTATCCCTATTTGACTTATGCTTTTTTGCAATAAATAGTTCAAAATGTGCCTTAAAACTTTTATTTCCACGAGTGTAAAAGAATTGTATGTACCAAAGGATTGTAAAACCGTATCGAAAAAGTTGGTAGTAGAGTATTTTATACTGAAGTCATAATTTAACTATGGTTCAACCGTTTCATATTGCTAAATGCGGTTAAAGAACGCTCTGATACCATATCAAGAATCAGTTAATTTCAATAATTCGAATTGTTGAAAGAGGTTTCGCAATGAATACTATATCATTTACTAAATGCGGTTGTGGCGGCCCTTGCTTCAATTTCAACTGGTATCTGCGCGCAATTGCTGCTTTGACATTTGTCCCCCGGCCTACTATTTTGATTCGGCCTGACCAGAGAGACATGTAATACATATGGCTTCGTCGATAGATGGGAATCTTAATTATATATTTGCAGTGCAAGATCGGTCCCGACGATTGGATCCCTTTCAGAATTTATCCAGAAGAAATGCTCTGCCTTGCACTCTTTCGAAACCAAGCAAAACAGAAAAAAGGTGACCATCATGATCATGGAGTTTTGGAATTTGGATGTAATGGTGGGGCAAATTGTAGAGGAAGATTGTATATGTATGGAAGTGGAGAAAAGAAGCAGCGAGGAAGGAGGAATCATAGTTAACTTTTTTACATATACATATAAAAAAAATGAGTCATATATTAGCGTTGCGTGTCTAGCGACTTGCTTCTTAGGCGACGTCTAAGTGTGTCTAGACACTGCAAACAAGAATAGCAGCTTGTACTAAATGATGAATGCGATAGCAGTTTACAATACCTTTGTATTTCAGTTCGATTGATTAAAACGTACTAACTACTAACACGTAACAAAAAGAAAGCTAACTTATTAGTTCATAGGATTATAGTTTAATAGGTGAGATACTATCCTATTAAAAGAGTAGTGCAAGGAAGTGGTTAATAGGTGAGATAGTTCTTAAACAATTGAAAAGATTAAGAGAGTGCAAGAAATTAAAGTGGTTAATATCAATATACATAGACATCTATTAATAATAACACGAGTTATTGAGACGAGTTAGTTAATTATAACATGGTATCAGAGTTGATTTGATCATGAGGATCATGTGTTCAACTCCTCAAGATATCCAATACCAACGGTTCATTCAATCACATGGTATGTAGGACCAATATCACCATTATAAAAAAAAAAACATTTATACTACTTGATGCTAAAGTTCACCAACACATTCTATCAAATAATAAATCAAACTATTTACCCAAAAAAATATGAAACTTAAACATAAGAGTTAATAAGATAGCCATTATAAAAAAAAAAGTTAATAAGATTGGTAGAGACAACCATATAAAATCCATGACATATAGCAGTAGCAAACCTAAAGGTTGCTACCTAATACCCAAAAGATCTATCGTGATATGCAATATAAAGTGAGGGCAGATAATTATGTTAACCGAAAAGATTTCCTCCCATCCTCTTTTCCCTCCATACCATTATTATCTAATTAACCCTTAACTTTTTTTCCTTGAAAGGTCACATCTACGGCAATATTAGAAAGGAAAGTCCAATATCCTTCCTATTAATTCTTTTTATCACTACTGGGTTCGCACGAAGATTAGGAACAAACCCTTCACCACTTTCCGGAGGCTTCAATACTCCTCTCTTCCAGCCGCTCGCCAGACTTCACCGAGAGCACCTCGTCAACAGGTTCTATGTTTTGTTTTTTTCCCCTATAGTTATACAATAAAAGACAACTAATTTGCGCCTCTCCTCTAGTCTGATTCGATATATACCCTTTGTTTTCTGTTTTGACATCAATGAGACCGGTTGTGTCACTTATACAAGAAGAAGGAAGATACAGCTAGACTCCTACTATTATACGTACCGAAGAGACACGCTCACAGTCTTATGAGAATGGGAACAAAAAGTTAGCTGACTTCCAAGCAGAGCATGATGAAGCCCAAGAACTTGATGATTGACAAAAAAAAATCTCATTTGTGTCCATGTATATTTTTTATTGTTTGGAATATTAGTTAATTAGAATTGTCGTTAGCCAAATTGGAGTTGGAATCTTTTTCTTTTTGTATTATCTAGTGAATTCCGATTCACTATTTTAGTTACCATTTTTGTAACAAAATGATTGCCACAAAAGAAAATCATTCGTGACAAATCTATTCATCACCGACACTGAATTTTAGTGACGATCAAATTCGTCACATGGGGGACATACGTGACAGTAAACTTTGTCACAAATAATTACTTTAGTGACAACCAACTCGACCCCTAAATCTACCTTGAATTTCAAAATGTGTATTTGTGACATAATTATGGTCACACATGTAACTATTCGTGACAATTATACATGTCACAATGGTAGTTTTCGTGACTGGACTACCTCGTCACAAAAAAAAAATTATTGACGATAATATTGTCACACAAGTTTTTATTTCCGTTATACGAACAATGTCCCACAATTGAGTTAGTTATTCGTGACGATTTTGACCCGTTACATATACAAATTTTACTGTTGCCAAAAGTTGAAAAACCGTTGCCCATTTTACAAATATGTGTTGTAAAATTTGTAAAATGTGTTGTCTAAAGTGGTGTTGCGTAAGAGGTAAGGATACACAACCCTTTATATTTGTGTTGCGAAAAATGAAAAAACAATTACCTATTCCTTTTGCAACCCCCACTATATGCAACCCTACCAAAAGTGTTGCGGTAGGATTTTGCAACCTTTTTAAGACATAATGCAACACATTCGTGAGAGTTGCAAGAGGCCATTTTTCCCGTAGTGCGGCCGTACTCCTCGAGAATAATATTATCCTCTCCCGTATCCCTCAAATCCCAAACCCAAATCAATCCAACTTTTCTCTTCTTGGTTAAGCGTATTGCATATATACTTTCCCTTTGCCTATATATAGCTCCACTTCCCCTCCCCGTTTCCACACAACCCATTCAATCCATTAACAAGTTCACTGTTTACAAACACATACATCCACTGTTCCATTGCCTACTGTTCATCCTTCACAACTCGAACAGAAATGGAGCGAGTGTTCCAATTGGCGGCGGAGAGGCCGGTGGTGATGTTCAGCAAGAGCAGCTGCTGCATGTGCCACACCATCAAAACCTTGTTCCGCGACTTCGGTGTCTTCTTGTGGGTGTCCATGAAATGTTTGATGAGCCTTCCTGAGATTCACACTAAGCATTAACTCTGGAATTGGGCACTAAGCAATAACTAGTTAAGCATCATTCAAGTTGGATCCTAACAAAATGCAGTGAAATTGATTCAAGATCGTATCCGATATAAGAAAGTTAGAATGATTTCATTTAAGAGAGGATAGGAAAGTAAAGAAATTGTAGCGAGAGAGATAACGAAACTTAGAACACACCATCACTGGATCGCACTTAACACTACTATATTACGATATTGTTGGATTACAAGTTTATTAAAATACTACTACCATTGTCCGAATCAAACTCGTCAATAAAAATAAATATCAACAGTGGTAAAAAAAAAATCTACTTGACGACCATAATTCAAGGATCATGAATCAAATTTCGAGGAAAACCTGATGCATTTTTTTCCATCTGTTGCATTGCAATGCAGGCTTTTACTTTTACAGGCTGAACTGATTTGGGCTTTCTGCTTAATGGCATTAGAACCAGTAGAAAGTCTGACGAATGGGCCTGATGGAAAGCACCACAAGCCCAAGACCATACCTTTTTTTTATACCTCTTTAATTCATATTGAAAAATATGTGGAAGAAGATTGCATTCGTATCTCAAAAGGAGTAAAGATTAGGAAAGTGTGGGGATCGTATAGATTTCCGATCGGTAACACGTGTGCGTGGAAAAGAGAGAGGAATATTAAAAAAAAATGGGCAAAAAATCTATGGGCCCAATTACCGAAGCAAAACCCAAAAAAGGTCCCCGCCTGAGCTGATCGACCCGGTCAGCTTTCTGGCCCACTTTCCCTCATAACGCAATCAATGCCCACCTGTCAACCCCAAACAAATGGGCTCCACCACCAAACGCCCATCCCACCCACGGCCCGCCCGCTGTAATTTCTTTTCACCACCAAACGCAGATTACTTAACCACGCTAGGGTGAGATAGTTAGTAAATACTCCGTTTAATACACATATATATGTATATATACTGTACGTACTTTATTCATTTAAAACTTCCGTCTCTGTTGTCAAGCCGTTTCATGTTCCCCATTCATTTGATGACTTCATTACTAAACACGTATAAAACTCATATAACACGTTTATTATCCGTATTTTACGAATTAAATTATTAACTTTAATATTATTTATATATTTATTTATTTTTAAAATAATTATTTTATATATTTATGACTATTAACGTACTATTAAACGTAACTTTAACTTAGAGAAAAAGTATAATACTCGTACATATTTTTTACGTAACTTTCTCGTACGATATTCTACTAACTATGGGTGTTAGTACAACATCCTAATTCCTATCTTTGTTAAAGAGTATAATAGACACCTTGTTGGTAACAAAGAGAATTATAAACAATAAAAAAATATGGATATATACTTCCAAAACACATTCATTTGGAGAAAACGGTTGATCGCTTCCGTAAAGAAAATTACTATTGATCACTTATTCTACAAGTCGTCCGAATTTCATGAAAAAGTCATGCCTCAACAGGATCGTTTGGCTTTATGATATAACATATTGAGGTCCATCGGAGAGCTAAATAGTGGGGCGTTCCATTGAAGAGGCCAAACTCTTGGTATGCGTGTCGACCGATGTGAAGACGAGGTGCACACAGCAACATGATTTTTCTATATCGATCGACCACCTCCTCATGCAGATGATTGCTTTCAAGTGAAGACGCTAACCAACATGTTTGGTGCTTGTTCCGTTCGACCGTCATACTGTGCAGATCAACTAGGTCTGACAAAAATAATGTCCAGCAATTGAAATATCACAAATAACAGTTGTACAAAAACAAATAGTATACACTGCTCAATCCACAACCCCCAAAACACACTTCACAATAGTCCACAAATAGCTCAAAACCAAAATGATAACAGATACAACTCAATCCACAAAACAAGTAAAATCCATAATGACATACATTACATGAACTCTCTTAATCTCTCTCCTCTCGATCATCTCCTTCTTACATAATGTTGATACTAAAATTCTAATGTTCGAATGTAGTGATATACATATGTCTTCCACTATATGATCCAAATTCATCCTCATTGCATTCACAGACACATGAAGTGTGCTCATATTTTTAGATATCTATATGATAGTCATACAACCCGTAAGATTCCATATATCTTTGAGGATTATTCGTGTGCCTTTCAACTCTTTCCAAATTGTATCATTACAACGTTATTGTTTCTTCTCATGTGTCACTGTCTAAAAATAAATTCATATTCATTAGAAATATCCCAAACTCACAAGTGGTCTACCACTACAACTTTGTTTTCGCCTTAGTGATGAAAAGGTAAGTGGAAGTCGGTCATAAACAGTGTCATATAACATTAAAAAAAAATTGGTTGACCGCACAATGGAGATGTCGATCATTTAGGGTTAAGAATAACTACATCCCTCAAGCAAATGTCATGAAGAGTGTACTAAAGATAATTAACTAAGTGACGACACCTGAAAGGTTGACCAGACAACTAGCATGGTCAACATATTAATCAATAGATTTTGCATGAACAACTAACTTTGATGTTCTGTCATCTTTTCTTCATCACCAAGCTTCGGAACCTCAATAATTTGTTTGCACGATTTTTAGAACGATAAACTAATAATCTAAATGGTTATATATAGAGATTTATATTGATGCTAACTAGGATTGAATGATAGCAAAGTCCTTGTTTAGTATGCAAAACATTTTTTTTTTTTGGTTGGATCTTGTTTCAGCATTGATAGGTAATCATCAACAATACGACCGTTTTGTTGTCCATATCGACTGTTATTTTCCTGTGTAATGGTACAGTTTTGTTGCAATAAGATTAGTGTGTCATTTGATATACCATTTGTCAGAAGGGATAGACAATTTCTCAAAATCACAATAACAAAATTCTTTAATTGTAAATTAAATAAGTAGTTAATGAAAACTCCACATTCATTTAATTCTCCATATTTTTTATATATAAACTTCAAGGCGATCTTTGGAAATTTACCTTCGGTTTTTAGCAATGTTATTAAAGCCGAGCCGCTCGGCCCAACCGGTAAAACCACCACCCGGTCACAAAACCGGCTCGGAACAGTCTAAAAGCCGCTCCGGTTTTATGTAGCGATTGACGAGCGGCCGAGGTGGTTAACCGCTCGAGCCGCTCGTCCGGTTTTTGCCATTCAACCGTTAAATTTAATTAAAAAAATTGTAAAAAATTTAAAATTGAAATAAACCAAAAACGTCGGGCTCTCAAACTGAATCCTTATTTCCATTTCATAATTTCGAAGGAAAGAGACGAGCTCTGATTAAGAAATGTCCACTATTTATACTTGTAACGTTTATTAGGTACCGGTTCTCTAACGATTTTTAAACGATCTAATGTCAGTTGGACCACTAAAGTGTGAGCCGTTCGCATTATCCGGTCATGCTCCAGTTCGGTTTTGACAACATTGGTTTTTAGGATTTTACTATATAGGTTCGGAAACAAAATCAAACAAAAGATTGCCACCAGCAAGAAGTTAAAAGAACATACAACATTGCCTGGAACTGAAACCAAAGTAGCAAGTTCACAGCTCCATCTTTCTTCTGCATTTTCCCCCAACGGTCACCTTCACCATTTTCAGCACAGAGATACACATCACAAAGCTCTCAGTGCAAGGAAGCATTAAACAAAAATGCCAGACCAACCAACCATCCATCACATGTTTCCTTCTCAAAACCACACAATATATTATCAAAACACTATTCAATAAAAATAGAAAAGAATAACACTTTCCCCAGCAGCTGCAGTAACTTCCCATTCCAGCTTTTCCAAATTTTTTGTTGTTTTTTGTTTGCTTCCCCATAAATCGTTTTTGGGCTTTGGAAGCGAAAAGTCGCCATAGCCAGAATCAGCTCAGAGATCCCAACACAACCCAGAAAGCTGAAACCCCAATGAAGAATCACATTATCACTACCATTTGAGAGCTGTGGACTCCATAACCCAGCTGGCCAGCTTATCATTTTTCCTTCTCTCTTATCACATTTCCCCTGTCTTCGTCGCCATTGGCGGTAGTGAAGTTACTTACTGCGGCGCTTTGCTCGTCCTTTTCCTTCGCCTTTTACTCATTTTCCCAGGAAAAAGGGGTCTAGTCCTTTCTTTTCTTTTCCCCCCTTTGTCCTTGTTCTCTGCTACTGCTATTTTCTCCGCAACCAAACAAGTTGATGAAAATGGGGAGAAGGGTCGGTGTCTGATTTTTGTTTCCGGTCTTCTCTGTCAGTTAAATTTGTGTCCCGTGAAAGCTTCCCATTGCCACTGTTGAGCTAAAAACCATGGTGGTTTCCTTTACAATGAGCTAGGCTGCTGCATCCATTAGTCCTTTGAGATTTCTCCTTAGGGTTCTGTTCTGTTTTGAGAGATTTGTCTAATCTAGTAGAGTTTTTACCTCGAAGATGTTTGGCTTCTCCAAGAAACGTATGAAGCTTGGCAGGTCAAGTCTTGTCTGTTCAGCTCTTTTACCCTCGTCTGCCCTTTTGCTGCCATTTTAGTTCATAGTTTCTTTCTCACTTCAGTTTTCCTTTTGTTTGCTTTTCAGGGTGAAGAAGGTACAGCTATCTGATTCTATCTCTACGCCAGGAGCTAGAAGCCCCATTAGACCTCCAAAAAGAGCTCCAAACCCTCCTGTTGTAAGTCTGCATTTTCCCCATTTTTTCTCATTGCCTTTTGCTTTTTGGTGGGGTTTTCCTTGTATAATTTTCTGTTTCTTTTGTTTATAGCATAATGATGGGGGTGGTGCGGCCACAACAAGCCATTGTGATGATCAGCTTGACTGTGAATGCCAAAAGTCAGCTCACCCAGCTGCTGATATTGGCAGCTCAACTTCAGGGAACTCTGAGAATTGGATGGTTCTGTCTATTGCTGGAGACAAACCAGCTCCTAGGTTCAATGTGAGATGATGCTATTTGCCTTTAGTTGTTGTAACTTTCTGGACAAATGTTGAAGAGATATAAAGCTTACCCTTTTGGTTGAATTAGCATGCAGCAACTGTAATTGGCAACAAAATGATAGTGGTTGGTGGTGAATCTGGAAGTGGTTTGTTGGATGATGTCCAGGTAGCTACCTTTTCCTTTTGTCTTGTAAAAAGGGTTTTTATTGGGTTCCTTTTCCCCCCATTTGAGCAGAGAACTGTACTAATCATTCTTTTTGTTCATCTCATTTCTTTTTGGTTATCATCAGGTGCTTAATTTTGACCAGTTTACATGGACCACCGTTACATCCAAGCTTTACCTTTCACCAAGCAGCCTGCCATTGAAGATCCCTGCATGCAAAGGCCACTGTTTGGTACTGTGTGTATGAGAGAGAGAGGGGTTCAACTTTGCTTGTGAAGTGAGTTGCTTGTGGGCTGACAGAGTTGTTTCTGTAGGTTTCTTGGGGTAAAAAGGCACTTCTAATTGGAGGGAAAACTGATTCTCCAAGTGAGAGAATTTCAGGTTGGAATACTCATTGCTTTCTCATTTGGTCTTGTGTTTTTCTTGATCTTCAATCTGTTGGTTGATTCCTTTTGTTTTGGGTTGTTCCAGTGTGGGCATTTGATACAGGAAGTGAATGTTGGTCTCTTATGGAAGCCAAAGGCGACATACCGGTACTTCTTTTCACTTAGATTCTACCTATCATTGATTTGCCTTCGAGTTCTGAGACAAGCAAACATTCCTGTTTCAGATAGCTCGCAGCGGTCACACTGTGGTCAGATCGAGCTCCGTACTAATCCTATTCGGTGGTGAAGATTCCAAGAAGAGAAAACTGAATGATCTACACATGTTTGATCTCAAGTCTCTTACATGGCTTCCCTTGCACTGCACGTAAGTTTTTGTTTCATGTCGGACTTGCTTCTGCCCTATGAATGGTTTTTCAAGTTTTAAAAAATGCTTATAATGCTTTGCTTTGCAGTGGAGCAGGACCTTCCGCTAGATCGAACCATGTAGCTGCTCTTTGTGATGATAAGACCCTTCTCATCTTTGGAGGGGCATCAAAGTCGCGTACCTTGAATGATTTGTATTCTCTCGACTTCGAATCGGTAAGAACCAAATGCATTCATGTTTGCTGATTGGATGCATGGTTTCCTGGCTTCAGAATGTTGGTGAAATTGATATATGATCTTCCCCTTTTCCTGTTTTTGGTGTCAGATGGTATGGTCGAGGATAAAGATTAAGGGTTTCCATCCATCACCTAGAGCTGGTTGCTGTGGAGTTCTTTCTGGAACCAAGTGGTACATAGCTGGTGGAGGAAGCAGAAAAAAAAGTAAGCATTCTAAATCCAGAGCCATTAATTTTGGAGCTACAATCAGCAGCTTCTGGCAATTAAGGAGTCATAATGTAATGTATGTTCTCTGTTTCTGCAGGACACTCAGAGACCTTGATTTTTGATGTTCTGAAAGTAGAATGGTCTGTTGCCTTTGCATCACCATCTTCTTCTATCACAACCAATAAGGCAAGTAGTCAAGTTTTCATGAACTTATACCATCTTATAGGCTAATTTGAGCCCCTTGAACTATATTGTGGTAATGTCATTTTACAACCTTGTACCATGCCATAGTGGTCCATTTACTATACTATGCTTTTACAAATTTCCAATTTCACTGCTGGAAGTTTTATCTAAATTTGTTGTTAGTTCGGGATATGGTCAACGCGTCCTTGATGACTCACATTGCATGTAATACTTATGTGGCTCATTCGACTCCCAACATTTTCCTCTCCTCTCTTTATTCCTAGGGAACATCTGTTAAACTTAGTTAGTCAGATTGAGGGGTGAAAGTGATTTCTCGCATATCATGTGTGTATCAGCAAGAGCGTGTTTATTAATTATTACTCAACTCCACTAGCAGCACATTTCAGACGAAATTTTAACGGAGGGTAGTGAGCAAATAAGTGGGGTATAATATATTACAAATGGTAGGATGCAGGAACGGAAATTATCATTAAGACAATTGTTTTGTGTATGTTAATATGTTTGTGGTCGTTAAACTTCTTCTTTTCTCCCCGACAGGGATTCAGCCTAGTGCTTGTGCAACATAAAGAGAAAGATTTCCTAGTTGCGTTTGGAGGATCCAGAAAGGAGCCTTCTAATCAGGTTAAGAACTGAACCGACTATTCCCAGTTGTCACTCACTAATAACGCAGTGTTCATCTCGATAGACTATAATAATGATGTCTTTTTGATTAATTGCTCTTTTACAGGTTGAAGTAATGGGTTTGGACAAGCATGAATCATCAATGTCTCGGAGGTCTGGTAAAGGTCCTCTTGGGGACTCTCAGCGTTCAGTTGACTCTGTTGCTAGACAGAACTTGGCTTCTGCAATCGAGCAGCATGGTTCTGGTAGAAAATCTATGTCGGAGTCCGCAATCATGGATTCAGGTTGTGCCTCTGGAAATGTCTCCCTCAGAAAGCAATTTCACGAGGAAGAACACAACAGAGTTGTCAAGATGGTTAAGAGCTCAGATGAAGGAAATGTGACGTCTCCGGTAAGTAACATGTTTTGCTACCCGTTTAGTAGCTAAGCTGCTCGGTCAAGTTAACTGGGAAGCCTGTTGAAAGTTTTAACTAGTAATACTTAGACAGAACTGTTAAGTGAAATGGTTAATTTGAAAACCGTAACCTTGTAGCCAACCCCTCAAGCTTACACTAGCACATTATGTCATTGTTTTCATATCACGATTTAGAATGGGGAGAAATGTCGATTTTTCAGGGGAAAGAACAGCAAATGAATCAACCCAACACATCCGTTCAGACTTATAACCAGCTGGGCAAAATCATCAGTGAGGATAAATCTTGTGTCTATGGTAGTTCATCAGACCTTAGAGTTGACACTGAGCGAGTGGCAGTTCCAGAGACTACTGACTACCCTTCCGGAGGGCCGCACTCGAGTGTCTATCAACTGTATGAATCCAAAATAGCTACTTTAATAAAGAAGAACGGAGTACTAGAAGGACAACTCGCGGCAGCATTGGCAGGTCAAGAGGTGGCTGAGAAGGGTTTCTCTGCGGTCGTGAAGAGCAAGCAAGATGTGGAGAAGAAGTTGGCGGATGCTTTAAGGGAAGTGGAGTTGCTGAAGGAGAAGATGACTAGTTTGGAGATGGCCCATGAAGAGGCCAACAGCATGTCGAATATCGTCCATTCGGACAACGTGAGGCTTGAACACGACGTGGCTTTCCTCAAGGCTGTTTTCGATGATACCCAGAAGGTAAAATGTTCTGCTGCCTGGCCAACTGTGTAATCGATCGATCTTTCATGGCTGAGTTTAAAGAACTAAGTCAACTAACTGTCTTTGGTCTCAGGAGCTGCATTCGACTAGGGGAGTACTAGCTGCAGAAAGGGCAAGAGCGTTTCAGCTTCAGGTGATTTTCTACTCGGCTAATCTTTCATCATTCCTTGTGTGTCAAGATACTCATGAGGCCTTTTGAAAATGCTCAGGTAGAGGTGTTTCATCTGAAGCAAAGGTTGCAGTCTTTGGAGAACCGAGCTCCGACTCCTAGGAAACCGTACCATGTTTAGAAGGCAGAGGAAACAGTAGCTTTTTGTAACTTGATTCTGTATATAGGGGTACTAAAAAAACCCTAATTCACGCTTTGTTTCTACAGCCAATTGTATTTGAAATTAGGTTAGAATGGCAACCAAGCATGTTACTAATGCAGAAGTGAAGATCTTTCATTTCAGTGCTTAGCTTTATCCAGTTCAAATTGAAGTTAATTAGTGTTTTTGAAAGTTATGGTGAAGTCCCTTCAGTTGAAGTTCTCTTTCTTGTAGAGTGGAATGTAAAATTAAGTAAAACAAAAGCGCACAACAATGTTAACATGAAACTACCAGGATGAATGATGTTGTTTAGCTACCAGCAATTCCATCATTTGTTTGAGCTGAGTGCAAACTTACAGCAAGGTCGAATCATTTCGCTCGAGATCTTTACATGAGAAAAATGGCAAGAGATTGACAAACTATCTAACCTGCAGTCCCTGAGGTAGTTGTGTAGGTTGCTTAGTCATGATGTCAAGGATGGTTTTCTTTACTCGTCTAATAGTTGATCACATTCTCCGGTACAGTTTCAGGCCTCTTAGGTTGATTGCCAAAAATTTAGGAAGGCTGCTAAGCTAACAGTGACGACAATGCATATGATGTTGAAATTCGGTATCTGCATTTTACTCTCGGAGAAGCTCAATCTCATCTGGTTCTTCATCAGCATCCTCAACCTCATTTTCTTCATCTTCTTCAGGAGCATCTGGATCGACACCCTATGAATATTGTCCAACAATAGCAGTTTGTTTATGCCAGATCCAAAGGCCATGTGCACGTACTTACAAAAAAGTAAACAACCGGATAGGGAAACAAACCTTCATTTGCTTCTCCAACCGTTCTAAGCCTTTCTTTGCTGCTTCATTCTGGGGATTCAACCTACGAGCGGAACCAATGAAAATCTGAGTTCAAGAGTAGGTTACGAAACAAGGCTCGGACGTGGTAAAAAAATGGTTCTCACCGTAATGCAGCCTGGTAGTGAGACAAAGCTTCTTGCAGAGCATTTGTAGCGGCATAGACTTGAGCCAGCTTGACATGAAGTGAGTCATCAGCCCAATCCTTAACGTATCGCTCAAGCAGAGAGACAGCATCTCCATTTCGGCCCTCTACGCAATGGAGCTCAGCTAAAGCTAATGCAGCACCAAAGTATCCAGGTTCCAGCCTCAGTGCTGACTCATAAAACTTCTTGGCCTGTAGTTCCCACCATCTGTGTTAGATCGACAATCAATGTAAGACAACTGAATGTATGTTGCATAGGTTTTACCTTCTCCCTGCCGCTAGAGTTGCTAGCATGTACATCCCCGACTAATTTCAGAGCTTTTGCAGATTGAGGCATGGCCTTCATGGCCTCCCTGGCTGCATGCAAAGCTTCTTTGGTCTTGGAGAAAGCCAAATAGGAATGAACGAGGCCTAAAAATTTGGGCACTACATAAGCTAATACTCAAACTTCGACACAACAGAAGGATTGAGTTGTAAATGCAAAACGTTGCACCTTGATATGAACGAAGGTCAGCTCTCAAATCGTGGGCACCTCTGAATGCTATTACGGCTACTTCTGGTCTCTTCAGTGATAAAAGTATATTCCCCTAAAACACAGAATGCGTTCTCATTTTAGGGAAACAAATTATGGAACTCAAACTTCATAGATCATACAGATCTAACAACCACTGAAACGAATTACAACTTGGAACCAGCACAATCTGTGGCATCGGGCATTAACTACTTGCATACCTTCATAATGTAGGCTGGTATGTGTCTCTCATCAATTCGGATGCTCTATAAAAGGGATTGTTGTTAGATTACAGAAAAATTTCACTTTTGGAGATAAAAAAAGGTGTTGCAAAGAATAAGTTCTACCTTCTCAGCATACGATAGAGCTCCTCTCTCATCTTTCCTTTCCCATAAAACTGACAAAGCCACGAAGACTTCCGGCCTGGTAGGGTCAATACTTAAAAGATCATGAACCAACTTGTTTAGCTTTGTATAATCGGACTTGCCCTTCAGAAGTATTGCATACTCATCCATGTAAGTAATGAGAAACGGATCCAGCGAGCGCACCTGCAATCAAGTGAATAAAGAACTTGAACAATTGTAAATCTATCAGAGAAGTAATGTATTTATCAGACAGAGAAATCAGCTAGTACCTTTTCAAAGTTCACTATAGCCTCATCGCTCTTTCCAATAATTGCTTCTACCTGACCATATTACACACCAAATCAGTGAAGCATATCATTTTTTTAGCTTAAACTGATTAGGTTGAGCCATTAGAATGAGAATTCGAACCTTAGCAGTTTCAAGTAATATGTGTATGTTGCTAGGAAAACGTTGCAAAAGTTCCGCAAAGAGCTCTAACCCACCTGCAGACATAACAGCCATATGTATTCATAGTTATGGGTTGCCTTATTTTCAAGATAACACAAAGCGAGATGCCGAAGAACCACCCAAAGAATAAAGGATACAAGATACAAAGGACAGGCTCACAGAAAAAGGAACTCAATTGGCACAACAATTTACAACCTACAGACAACAGAGTTTAGACTTAATATCGATTACCTTTGTAGTCGTTTGAAGCCACACAACATTGTGCCTCAACATAGCGCTGGAAGAAAATAAATGAACGAACAGATGAGCAGTTTGTGCACAATACGCGAGAAAAACAGTTCAGTCTATGAAAGTTTAACTAATGACAAGAAGTCTCTGCATTCAGTAATGAATTACAAATGTTTCCAAGAGCAATGAGGCCCCAAAATAGGGGTCAGGGGATGGACAACAAAGCAGTACTCAATTGTGATGGTCGAAAAGAAAGTTAAAGCTGATTTAAATCTGTACTTACTTGTAACCATCTATTTGAGTCAATATGCTCAAATGGGGTCCTTCCACTTTTGTATGAAGTCTGCAACCAATGAGAAGAAGACAGTGCAGCAAGGATATCAAACCATGCCTTTGCAAAAATCACGGTCATAAAGCTACAAGCCTACAATAAAGATGGCGGTAGTAGGATATGCTCCAAACTCAAAGAGGTTTTCGGGTGGGTGAGGGGAAAGAGAGATTGTGTGATTCTCAAATGAACAGACCTGTGAGAATAATGAAATGATATCCTTTGCAGCAACTCCCAGTTCAGCTAAGGCTATAATAGCTTCCATTACATAAGGGCAATTCCTGGCAAGTAATATATATAAGGAAAGGATCAAAGGATGCTCACGTCGAGGCAAAACTATTTTTCATTTCTAGAGTGGATAAAACAAAATATGCAAGTTAATCATGCAACATTGATTTCTGAAGCAGAAAGCATGGTAAAGAGAACCAGTGAATGATGAGATGGACATGCATGAGTCGAGGCAATAGTACTGTAAACCCTTTCCATACCTCAAGCACTCTCTGTAACAAGCAATAGCATATCGATTATGTCTGGAATTCCGAAAAAGCTTTGCCATTAACAAACTCATCTGCAAAGTTCTTGCTTTGCTAGGAATTCCTTCCATCTGCGTAAAAAACACCCAACCTCAGATAAGTGGAAGAAAACAGTATAACCAATAGCAAGATTATCCAGTCACAAGAGCAGTCCAACAAAAGACATTGCGTGACAAACAACAGAAACAAACCTCGGCAAGAGCCAGTCTGGTTTCATTCAGTGATGAATGACAAGATGCAATCTTGAACTTCACCTGTTACAAAAACTATGTCAAAATGCTAGCTAAAAGCAACCAGTTCCAGCCACAAATCGCCCGGGTTTGGAAGAGGGGGAGAGTGAGAGAGAGAGAGAGGCAATAGCAATTCTACCTCGTTTTCATTAATCGCTGAAGCGTTAAAAGAACTCGGCGAAGAAGACCTGCTGGAGAGTGAAGTTCTAGCAGAAGTTGAGTTCTGCTTGGGGATAATCTTACAGTACTGCAATGCTTGTTTGTACGTATGCTGCCATACATTCCCAAATGCAAAAAATTCAACAACAAAAAACTCCACCAAAGTTCCCCCTAAAATTCAGAGAAATTACATATCAAACATAGAGAAACGAGAACCAAAGGAAAGGGGGGAAAATGCACTAACGATTGCTCTTCGATACTCCCTGTCACGAAACAGCGAGTCTCCTAGAAGAATCTGTTCCAACAACAACCCAAACCCAACGAATTAAAACAATTTTCCAATTCGCGGCATCCAAATTCAAAAGGGAAAGAAATCAAGCAAGTGGTCCGGACCAGATTTTCGGCCTTCAGTTGAGGGCTTGTTTCAGGATTAGCCGAAGTCGACGATACAAGGAAGCATCCCTGTTTTCTCAAGTTCCCACAACACAAAGACGAGCGGGAAAAGGTTAAACCGGCGGCAATCGATGGAAATGCTGAAATCAAAACCATCAAGACTCAAGCAGAGAGAGTGAAAAAGGCTTACGAGCATCTGAGCGGAAGCATGGAGGTCGTGATCGAGGAGAGTCGCGATTTGATCTTTGGAGATGTCCATTTTCCTGTGTTTGCTTTGTGAAATTGGGTAGCGAGAGCTGAAAATGGCGACTCGCTGACTGACTGATTGTTGTGAGAGCAAGCAAAGCAGCGTTGAGAAGACTGGTCACCGTGATGAACGAAATTTTGAATTAGAAGGCCAGCAAGTTGTCAGTTGTTTTTTCAAAGTAGTCCACGGGCCAGGCTTTAAGCCCAGCGTGCTCAGTGGCCAGTGGGACGAAAATTATCTGTTTTTTTTTTTTACGGAAGATTATCTAAAATTAAGGGTTAAATATCTAAGTTTAGCCTCAATTTTACACTAAAAGGTTACCTTGATTTGAGACAAATCCGTGAGATCAGGGGCGATATTGACATGGCCAGGGAAGAACAAGTGGTCAACTGGGACTACATCAGACAGCTGGAAACCCGGTTAGGGGATGCCTACCGACAGGAAGAGGAGTATTGGGCTCAGAAATCGAGGACCAATTGGCTTCATGGTGGGGATGCCAATACCCACTATTTCCATCTTGCCACAATGCAGCGCCGGAGAAGCAATTTCATACCGCGGCTACGAGATGAGCAGGGCGAATTGCAGTCGAAGGAACCAATCAAAGGGAGTATTTCAGTCTCTTTCTTCGAATCTCTGTTTACTTCTAATGGTGTTGACCCATCAATATTTGTTCACAGCCTGAACATGCCAGTGAAAGTCTCGGCAGCTATGAATGATAGGTTGACTATGCAGGTGTCTCGTGAAGAAATCAGGCAGGCCATTTTCTCTATCGGGCAGGGGCAATCTCCGGGGTCTGATGGATTTACCGCGGCATTCTACCAACGTTTCTGGGGAGAGATAGGAGCAGAGGTCTCGGAAGGCATTCTGTCCTTTTTTCAGTCAGGCAGGCTGCTTCATAGTGTGAATCATACATTGTTGACGCTCATTCCCAAGGTACCGAATGCTGACTCTATGCGACAAATGCGGCTAATTGGTCTCTGCCAGGTTCTTTACAAGATCATCTCCAAAATCCTATCTTCGAGGCTAAGTAACATCCTTCCTCAGCTAATTAGTCCTTTTCAAAATGGATTCGTTAAAGGCAGATGTATCTCTGATAACATTCTTATTGGGCAGGAAGTGATGCAGTTTCTTAAAACCAAAATCCGTGGACCTGATAAATGGATGGCTCTGAAGATTGATATGGAGAAAGCATACGACCGGGTGGAGTGGGCCTTTCTTTTTCAAATCATGCAGAACCTAGGCTTCTGTGAAAAATGGATGACTTGGATCAAATCTTGTGTGACAACGGTGCATTTCTCGGTGCTGCTTAATGGAGCTCAGTATGGATATTTCCAACCGCAGAGAGGGATTCGACAAGGCGATCCTCTATCGCCACTGTTATTCGCCATCTACACCGAAGGATTCGCTGCAAAGATAGCCCAAGAGGTGGCTGCCTCCTCCCTTCATGATCTACGCATACACAGGTCATCTCCACCCTTATCACATTTGTTTTTCGCCGATGACTCTTACCTCTTCCTTAGAGCGTCAATTCCTGAATGTGCATCACTTCTTCAGCTTCTAGCTGACTATGAAACAGTGAGTGGCCAAAAAGTTAATCTACATAAGTTCGCTGTTTGTGTTAGTGCTAATGTCTCTGACCTGGAATTACAAGCAATAAGCGCTTTCCTAGGAGTGAGTATTTTGCAGGCTGAAGACAAATATCTAGGACTGCCATCTCAGATTGGCCGGTCTAAGACACTGACTTTTCAATTCATTGAGGAAACCTTGGCTGCCCGGATTCGAAGTTGGAAGGCAAAGTCTCTTTCTTTGGCAGGTAAAGAAGTTGTGATCAAGGCAATTGGAGCAGCAGGACCTATATATGCCATGTCGGCATTCCGTTTGCCCCAGGAAACCTGTCGCCGATGTAATGGCCAGCTATCAAAATACTGGTGGGTAGGCCAAGATAAGGAGAAAGGAATTCATTGGCTGTCATGGAGCTCCATATGTCAGAGCAAATTCGCCGGAGGACTCGGATTCCGTGACTTTAACAGGTTTAACATAGCTCTACTGGCTAAACAGGCTTGGCGACTCCTTCTCAACCCGACCAGCCATCTGGCGAGGATCTACAAAGCTCGTTATCATCCTACCCGAGGCTTTCTGGAGGCTACAGTTGGTTCTAGGCCTTCTTGGGCATGGCAAGGGATATTGGAAGGGAGGGACCTTCTCAAGCGGGGTCTAAGGTGGCAAGTGGGAGATGGCTCACATATTCGGGTTCTACAAGATGTTTGGATCCCATCCACTCCTCCGTCGTGCCCTACATTGAAGCCAGGTGCGCCCCCTGCCCTATCTTTGTCTCTGATCTAATCTGCCACAACTCGAAGGTATGGAAGAAAGATCTCTTGGATGCCCTGTTCTTGTCGTCTGAGGTAATTCTTATCTTAGCCATCCCCCTACCTACAGTCCATATGGAAGACAGATTAATTTGGCATTACTCACATTCTGGATTGTATACAGTTAAGACAGGATATCATTTGTTATCTTCGGAACAAAATCTCCTGCATCCACCACCCATTCTCCCCTTTGACACCCGGTTTTGGAAACTGCTTTGGAGCCTGCCACTTCCACCCAAGTTAAAATTTTTCTTCTGGCGGGTGGTCCGCGGATTCCTTCCTTTGCAGACTGTGCTCTTCACTAAAACATTGGCGTCTGACATGGTTTGCCCGATATGTGATGCAGATACAGAATCCTTTTCCCACTGTTTTTTTGACTGTAGGGTGGCGATGGGCTTATGGAGGCTTGCTGACCGTGAGGAGCTTCGTTCAGCCCTTGGCAGCCTGGCGCCGGATGAGGCATGGAACCTACTATTTTTTGGCAGGAACTATTCCAAAGTCGAGATTGCAGATGTGGTCTTCCTCCTATGGCAGATTTGGAAGGCGAGATGCTGGTCAGTCCATAGCTATATTCAGTACCTACCCCCTGCACTTTTTCGGCAGCTTCAACACCAAATTCAGGAATGGAGAGCGGCGGAACAGACGCGGCCAACCCACCCCAGCAGCAGCCATGGGGCAGCGCCAAACTCATGTCCGGCCCGAGTTGGTAACGGTAGAATGGAAGGAGATGGCCACCAGCCAGGAACCATTCATGTCTGGTTTGACGGGGCGGCCAAACGTGACCATGGCGGCAGTATCGGGTTCGTGGGATTTCAATTATCAGGTATTCTCCTCTTTGCTTTTGGAAAGGCTTACGAGGGTATCTCAGATCCATTTGTTATGGAATGTTTAGCACTCCGGGATGCGTTACAATGGTGTCTAATGCATGGTTTTGTTTCTGTAAAATTGCATGGGGACTCGCAACAATTAATTCATCGGATGGTGAGAAACGATGTGGCACATGATCGGAGTGGTGCTGTCCTGGAAGATGTAAAGGCTTTGGCGTCGAAGTTCATCTGGATCTCTTTCTGTTTTGTCTCTCGCAGACTTAATAGGGCCGCCCATCTTGTGGCACAAAAAGCCCTCTCATCGGGAGTTCGACATCTGGTCGACTCTCGCGCATTTCTTTCCTCTGTTTCTGACTGAACTGTTACCGCTAATTTTGACAAAAAAAAAAAAGGTTACCTTGATTTGAACTTTTTCGAAATCTCTCAAATGTCCGATATGAAATTAACTCCCCCATTGCCCCAAAAGTCACTTAACTAGCACTGACACTCTTAGTGTGCGCTCGTTTCGAGAAGTGGCAGATCCAGTGTTTGACCTCTACCAATACCTATTATGATGTTTCTGGAGGCATTTAATGGAGATCCTCGTGAAAGTTCGAAGAGATGAAGCAGGTTAACTCCCAGATTTGGTCTCGTTCCGCCATTTCAAAAGCGGTGTGTGCGTGAGATGTTTCTGGGTTATAAAAAAACTCTATTATTCAGCTTGATATTTCTTCTTGATCGTCAACTTGAACAATCAATTTTTTTTATCATTAAGTCATGATTCTTTTCTTGATGTGGATATCACATTGACGGTCAGGTTATGGTCCTCCACTTCATCTTTTGAGGATGGTTAGGAGCATTTAACTGTATATATTAAGTATCCACTAAATTAACGACTCAAATTAGGTTAGAGAATAGTTAGTGAAAGTTTGAGCTCACAGTCTGAAAAGTAGTTGAAATAATGGGTCCCACGATATGAAAAGTAAGTGAGAAAAAATAGTGGAAATCGGGAGGTTACAAATTGTGAAAATGACGAATTCACATAGCACACATATGAAATATATGTTCAATCCAAGAATATTTTTTGTTCATTAAGAATATGTTCTCTATTATGCGTTCTGCTCATTCTGAATATAAGTTGTGGAAATGATGAATACACATCACATTTATGAATTATGTTTTTGTTCAATCTGAATATGTTTTTTGTTTAGTGCTAGGGGTGCCAATGGAGCGGGTTTGCCTAAACCAACCTCATCCCTATTTCCAAATACCCAAACACATACCCGCCCCATACCCATGCGGTGGAAGGTTTTACAAACTCATCCCCACACCCGTGATTTTCGGATACCCATGGGTAATACCCGGCCCATCAACTACTCACCATTAATAAAAGAATATGGTGACAAATATGGATATTACCCGCCCAAAATTATAGAAATAATAGATAAGAGGATGAAATTACGGTTTGGTTGCCATCAATTACATTTTAACACTTTGTTTTTTCTTTTAAGGGCTAATACCACTAGGAAACCCGAACTATTAACTTTGTGTCATTTGTGTCCTAAAGTATCCGATATGACAATTGTGTCCCAAACTATTTTTTCGTTATGGTTGACTGGCGTTGACCGTTAGTTTTGAACAGAAAGTCTTATTACATCATATTTTAGGTATAATAAAGTTGTAAATAAGTGAAAAACTCAATTTCTCCAATAATTTAGCTACATTTTATCAAAATATGATTTCTTTCTTGGTCTTTTAATTAAAATAATAAATATTTCTAATGTTTTTCGCAAAAATTATGTACCCAATGGGTCGACCTGCCCCGACTCGCGCCCCATGATAAATTACCCAACCTGCCACAGGGCGAGTATGGGTATCGAGATACCCGCCCCGGACATGCCCCATTGCCATTCCCAGCAGACTGTTGGACCAATAAGGCTGTCTCGGTTCTGCGGTTTCATTATGGGATCACT